ACATGGATGGTACAATAGGTTGTCAATAAATCAGCAATACTAAAATTAGGGGAAAAAAAGCATTTCTCAAATCGAAAAAAAATACTATTTCCAGTTTGAGGGGTTTGTCTTTAGTTTAATTAAATAATAATAAAAATAACTGTGGAAAATAATATATATTTTTTTGTCAATCTCTTTTTTTATTTGAGGCGTATAGTAATCGGTGCAGAAATAAGACATAAGGAGGTATACAATTGTGACACTTGTGACATACAGTAATATATAATACTAAGAAATGTACCTCTTTTAGCTTAAGGGTTAAACATGCTAGGCTAGTACATGTCGTATAGGTAACTGTTAACATGCAGCAATAAGTAGACTAGGCGATTACATTGAGAAGCGTGTTGAAGGCCCTGCAGTTGTATGTGTAAGTACAGCGTTAGCTCAGGGCATGTTTGGGGCTGGTGCTTGGAGTCAGCAAAGGTATGTGGAGCGGGACCAGGATAACCACCACCGGTCCAGGGGGGAGAGGGTAGCTGTGTACCATGATTGCTTCATGTGTTTGAGGGCTGGGAGAGCAGCCGCCTCTCTCCAGCTCTGCTTGGTGTAGGCCGCAAGCCTCGGTTCAGGCAATCCAGCGGCTGATATGCTTGTGTGGGGTATCCCCCGACTCATCGATGCCTGCTTAACAGGATGCGTTTGGTTTGAGTCCAAAATTAAGCAAGTGGCCCGTGATCAATGTCGATCATCAGGCTCAGGCTCAGGAACTCACAATGAGTGCGCCTGTTCGGCTCCACAGTCAGGCTCCGCCCCCGAAAATAATATTTTTTAATGAAACATGATTATCAGACATAAGACTAACCTAATATTTACTGCAACATATAGTGGGAATAAAAAAAGGATTTAAAAAAAACTGCTTACAATTGGAAAAAAGAGATGTAACTGCGATTTATTGATTAAGCTAAAAAGCCTCCACTTGTTATCATAACTACAGTCACATTATGTGCACTATACATATTATTTACAACTTGTCACTACAGTACTGATCAGTAGGTACTCATAGGTGCCTCTTATTACTGTTAGTAAATCACAGCTGTGATCCCCACTGCAAAGTAACAACAGGGCGTTACCAGTTACCGCAACTGAAAGTCAGTCGCTAATTAGAGAGGTCAATAGCTAAATCCCTCTCCACACTCTTGAAACAAATACAAAATACAAAAACATTGAAGATACAAGTTTTGCTCCAACCTTGTTCTAAGTTTTATTGGCCAGGTACTACTTGCCCCTCACTGGTTAGTGGCCACACAGGGTAAAGTGGTTGGTATAGCGGCTGCTGTTATTAGCGATAGCCTAAAGAAAAGAGAAACACGTTTGAAAACCAAAGAAAAAAGTTACCTGCTCACTATCCCAAATCTCTGTGCATATTTAAATAAATTTAAGTTTTTTAGTTCCATTCCAATGGCCATTAGATGTTTGCCCACCTGCCAAATCAAGGCAAACCTATTAGGTGGGTCCTACACTAACAATTCACCTTGCTTCCTTCAGCTTCCGGCAACAAAAAACTTCTAATGAGTCAGAGAGGGGTATTCTTCTAAATCCTTACATACTTATTAACCCTTCATAGTGTACACATGGTGTGGGTGGCAGCATTGTAACATGGCTGTGTGATACAAAAGCAAATACACAAAAATAAGTCCTGCGCTCAGGAAGCTTAGGCAGGTAGGCTTACATCTAATCAGGGCCGGTGCAAGGAATCCTGCCGCCCTATGCAAAGATCCATTTTGCCGCCCCCTCGTGAGATAGTTCGATTGCATCACAAGTTTATTCACTAAACACCGAACAAAACATTTCACAGTATTTTGTTATTAACGATTTATTAGATATACCCCCAAAGAAAATATACTTTTATTTTTGAAGCATGTTTTCTGCAAGCCCCTTGTCTGTGCCAGGTAATACTCTAATCAGAGGCTTCTTATTGAGATGAAGCCTCTGTGCTGAATCCGCAAGAGCACGCATGCACTCTGGATCATGGCTTTCCTATGTTTCCCATTGAGCTCTAGTTCAGCTCACTGAGGAAGGGGGAAGGCAGGAACACACTAGCAGAGTCAGTCTGTCTCTTCTGTTAGCTCTGTGGAACTAAAGGAAGTGTCAGAAAGCCTTCCTGGCTGCCTGAGTGACAGACAGGAAGGTCTTTTTGCCCCAATTATAAAAGGGACGATTTCTATTGAAATCGTCACTTTTAAAAACTGCTAAGAAACTGACAGACTCCAGACATATAAAGCATTTCAGCAAGCTGACATACTTTATGTATATGGATTATTCCTTCCTTAGCAAAACTATAGTTTATACACTCACTTTTGCTAAGAGACTCGCACACAACTTTTCCTCAGTTTTTTCCTTTACTTACAGTCTCCATCTCTGCTTACTCTTCTCTACTTAATTTTTCCAATCAGTTGCTGCTTTTGTTTTTACTTTTTAGTGTCTCTTACCCTTTTCACAGTGTTTCCTGAGTGTTTTTCCCAAATGGGTCTATTCATTAGGTGGTGGATTGAAAAGGAGGCTAAAATAGACAATTGGAAAAGTCTCCATCTTACCTTAGTTGAAAAAGAAAAAGGTTTGACATAAGTTTAAGCTTTTAGAGACTTATCAAATCTATATCTATATATATATATATATAAAATAGAGACTTTAGTGAATGGACCCTAACATGTCTGCCTGCTTGATTTTATTAATTTTATTTTATTTTAATTTTTTTAGTGAGACAGGCACATAGTACTGAAGAATTTGGGAACATGGAATAAAGACCTATATATGTAAAAACACTGCCTAATTCATACTGTACATCCATACACCCACACTGCCTATTACGTTTACACACACACACACACAAAGGGGCGGACTGAGAACCCTCAGGGCCCCCGGGCAAAATAAATCAAGGGCCCCCTTACAGGCCCCACCCATACTCTGCAGCAAGCGCCACCCTTGTCCCGCCTCCATGCACCGCCTCCAGCCACACCCTACACAATCTTTAGACACAAGGAACAAAAGGGCAATAAGCCCTTCGAGGCCCCAGCAGAGACTACAATTGAGGGCTAATGGGCCATGGAGGGGGGTCTTTCTAGCGGAGGCTATCTCAGTGTCCTTTAGAGAGTGTGTTAGAAAGAATCCCCTCAAGGCCCCATTAGAGACTACAATGGAGTCTAATAGGCTTGGAAGGGGGTCTTTCTAACAGAGGCCATCTCAGCGTCCATTAGATATCCCCTGCTGGAAACAGTCGCCTCCAGGCCCCAGTAGAGACTACAATTGAGGGCTAATGGGCCATGGAGGGGATTTCTAGCAGAGGCTATCTCAGTGTCCTTTAGAGAGTGTGTTAGAAAGAATCTCCTCCAGGCCCCATTAGAGACTACAATGGAGTCTAATGGGGCCTGGAGGGTGGTCTCTCCAACACTCTGGTTCCTATTCACAATATAGCAACACAACATAGCTCACTGATACCTAGGCCAAGTTGGCTCCTCTTACCTTAATTACTGTTGCTGGCTGGCAGTCTGTGGGCTTGCTGGCTGCGGCTGGCAGGCTGTGGGCTTGCTGGCTACTGCCGGCAGGCTGTGGGCTTGCTGACTGCGGCTGGCAGGCTGTGGCTTGCTGGCTGCGACTGGCAGGCTGTGGGCTTGCTGGCTGTAAGCCTGTGGCTTGCTGTAGGCCTGTGGGCTGGCTACTGGCCTGTGGGCTGGCTACTGGCCTGTGGGCTGGCTAACTGGCTGGCTACTGGCCAGCCTGTGGGTTGGCTGGCTGGCTACTGGGGCACTTGTAGATTATTTAAATAAATAATCCATGCACAATAACCACTACTGCTCCAGAGTAAGTAGTCAAACCATTTAAGAACAGTTTGACAACTTACCTGGGATCTGCTGGGATATGGGGCTGTAGTAGGGAATAGGAGCAGTGGTGCAATGTGTGTGAAAGGTTCAGTGTGTGTGGGGGTGTAGTGTGTGAATGTGTAGGGTGTGTGGGCTGTGTATGTGTGTGGCAATGTTAGTATGGGGGGCTGTGTATGGGGGTCTGTGTGTATATGGGTGGGCAGTGTATGTGTGTGTGTGAGGCAATGTGTGTAAATGTGTATGGTGTGTATGGGGGCAGTGTGTGAATGTGTATGGTGTGTGTGTGGGGCAGTGTGTTTATGGGGCTAGAGTTCACTCTCACCACTGCGACCACCAGGAATCCCTGGGGGTCACAGTGTTGAGAGTGAACACTAGACCGTAGCTCCAGGGCTAGAGTTGACTCTCGCAAGAGCGGTAACGTTGCCATGGTAATCGCGGCAACGCTCTGTGCTCGTGCAAGAAGGACCTAGAGGAGCTGCAGGGTGAGCTCCCAGGTCCTCTCTTCCTTCCTCCCCTGCCTGCACGGTGCCTGCGGACAGGGGAGGGGGAGCAATTGCCCTGTTGCCCCCCTGGATCCACCAGTGATATATACAGCCCTTCTGTGTGCCTTTTTGTCTCCCCCGTCCCTCTGTATGTTTCTTTCTCCCCCCTCCTTCCCAGTCTCTCTTACCCCTCTGCCTCTTTCTCCCTCTC